TAGTGTTCTTTATTGCCTTTGATCTTTATTTATTTTATTTGATTAACACTATGATTAATTAAATTGAATTAATTATATCATCTAGAAATCAATTAACAAGTGATTTGTCGCTTTTAATTGTTCTAACTTCGCATTCAGATCTAAACAAGTATAATTTTCGAGGGCTAAATGTTCGAAGTCATAATTGGAAGTGAACAAAAATTTGAGTTGCTAACTTATTTGTCTAAAAAAGGAGGAAAATATTCATATCATATTTTTCCTTCTAGCAAATGAGCCTCCTAACTCTGGATTTTAAAACTCCAATATTGACCTGACTTCTTGATAGAATCGGGTGGAAAAAGAAAATTCAACAAATGACATAATTCAAAAAGAATTTTGTACCCACACGTTGAAAGTGAGTTACGTGTTTATTTGAACTCTTATAAGATAACTTAAACTTAACGGATAAAATTTTATAACATGATTTGTCAACTATAATTTTAATTCGACAATTTTCTCATCACTAGGGGATAAATTAAAAGGTTGAAAATAATAAATATAATACATCATTTTGTCATCTAAATCTTCGGACAAAAAATTCGAATAAGAAATTCTAAAGATATTTTATTTAGATTCATTTATTAATCAACGAGATGAACAAACTCACACATCAACTTTAAATACTCCAATTCGGATTGAAGTCTTGAGAGGACAATTTTTTGATAAATTTATGGCATGTCTGAAGCATAATGACATTCAATTCTTACACAAAAATCTTCAAAAAAAAATATAATAAAATAAAAAATGGAGCAAATAGTAAAGTTAATCCCCTTAATGAATCATATACTATTGATGAGGATTTAGACATAAAAATTTGCAAAACTCCTTAAGAGATTTCGATTCCTAAAATAATGAAAATTGAGATATCTCAATAATTATGTTATTATGTGGAAATAAATGGAATTAAAAATAAAAAATTATTGACAACATTTTTTTATCCATAATGTAACGCCTCATATTATGAATGATAGCAAGTTTTTGAAAAAAAAAATTGTCAGAAAATACCAACATATAAATAATTGACCAAATAAAATGATGTAATCCTAACAAAATTACTAGAGAAATATGAAACTTTTGAACTTGCAATCCACATACCTAAATGCGTCTACTTATGTGAAAAGGAAAATTGGAAAAATAAAGTCATAATATATAATGCACAATTCCTAACATAAATTTTGCAAATACTTGTATATATCTTATTATCATTTTAATACACAAAAATTGATATGCGTATAATAAATGTGATTATAGCTAACTCATGTGGCATGGCTATTAATGATATCCCCGAAAGATTTAATATATGAAGCATATAGTTGAAGTGATATTATCGTGAGAGAAAGTAAATACGTATTGCGCTTTTTTTTTTTCCCGTTGAATGATATTCCATTGGATTTTTGTCACAGAGTTTTTAATGAGCTAACTTTTATAGTGTGTTCAAAGAAATAATGAACTTTTTTTCCTTGATTGTGATTATTCTATAGAATATTTCTTAATAAGTGTTTAATGAGTCATATTCTTTGTATAATGAATATACATAAACTATAAGATATTTGCCTTATCTATGATTTTACTTTTGTGTGCTATATTTTATATACGAGTCTTCCCGAAAGATCAACAACAAAATTTGTTTTTAAACGGACCATCACCTTGACTAAAGTCAAATAAAAATTGATAAATATCTTGTATGAAAATTATATTGATTGGGGATGTAACAATACAAAATGAAACATACTTTCAATTGTATCAAATTGGTCCCGCATCAATTTAAAATAACTTTTCGGTCTGTACACTATATTTTCATGAAATCTAATATCCATTAGTCAAAACTAACTTTAACGAATCACTTTAATTGACTAATCTTTAAACAATAGCGCCATACATTTTAATAAATTACATGTGTGGCGGCCACATATGTTAGAATTTTTCTAGCAAAATATATATTAAATAGTGAATGGACATTGTATCTCCGTTGCCCTATTTATTTTGATTATTTTATCTCTGGTTGTCCCAACTCTTCTCTATAAATACATAGGATTTTGATTCTCAATAAAATATATAAATTTTTTTTTTCTATTTTCTCTTTATTCTTTGTCATTTATAATAATTATGTAATGATCTCACAGATATAAAAAAATATAATCTCAAACAATGGAAAAAAAAAATATCAAAGGGAATAATATCATGATATTATCACATATGATGATTAAAATATAATCCAACGGCCATGGTGAACCTCGACCCATAAAAATACATTTATTTTCTTGGGTAATTCGTCACTTTCCAAGAACAAGGCCAGCACCTAGTGAGATGTTCCTGTTTGGTGGGGTTCAATGAAATCTATATTTAAAAAAACGTGGATCCTATAAAAAAATATTATTAAAATTAACTCTACCACACGATATTTATAATTTGATTCCCCCAATAAAAAAAGCAAAAGATAAAAAGTTGTTTTCTCATCCACGGCAAACAAATCCACGTTCCCAAAAATCCATGTTCCAAGGCATCTGAATTTGACGGCCATAAACAATGTACTCCACCCAACACCACCCACACCCAATTATATCCATCCGAGACCTACTAGACCATGTTTGGCTAACCCTAAAAAGTAAAATTCCTTTCAAGTAAAAATAATTATTTTTTTAATATGTTTAGATAAATTGTTCTTAGAATCAAATTTTGATGAAAAATTTTGCTTTTGTTAGGTGCGGTAAAATTGGCAAATGACCAGAAAGCCATCTTATTATTTTGACAATGTGTTATTTTAAGATGGAGAGGATATGGGGGTTAAATATTCTCAGTTGCCACTGAATTTTTATAAATGTTTCCCGATTGCTCTTAAAATTTAAAATGATCTCGAGTCGAAATTGAACTTTCAATATATATATACACACACACAGGCGGACCCACATGGGGTCAAGTTACCCTACAATTTTATTTATTTATTTATTTTTTGAGTTTTCCTCTTTGAGTTTTTTTTTACCAAAACATTTTTGAGTTCTCATTTTTGATCAAAACTTTTGAAATAACGATTGATGGACAAAATATTTATTTTAATAAGATCAATTATAATTCCGACAACTCTAAAAGTTAAATGCAAACTTAAAAATTTATGAAAGTTTAGTTTCAACAGGGTATTTAAATTGGTCAAGGTCATTTACTTGATCAAACCTTGAAAAAAATGCTATCCTCTTTTTTTGGTAAGTACCATTTGCCTAACTTTCTAACAAGCTCTTTTTTTTTTGTGCCAAAACTAATTAAGAAATGGTACATTTTATTAGTTTACAAAACTCTATTGTGTCTCAGCTGGGTTTGGTAATTATAAGTTACTTATAAGTAACATTGACCCACTTTTAAGCTTAGCCAAACATGCTTCTAACATTTCCAAGGATAAATACCACCACAACCCTTCTCCACTTGTACCTCATAACCACACACAAAACACACACAGACTACAGAGAACAAATTGAAATGGGAGTTGTCATCATCGACGGGTCAACAGTCCGTTCCTTCGTAGACGACGAGGCCCAGTTCAAAAAAAGCGTAGACGAAGCCTTCGCCTCTCTCGACCTCAACAACGACGGCGTTTTATCAAGATCAGAGCTCCGCCGCGTCTTCGAGTCGCTCCGTCTTATCGAGACCCACTTCGGGGTGGACGTGGCCACGCCGCCGGAGGAACTGACGAAGCTCTACGACTCGATTTTTGACAAATTCGATTGCGACCAAAACGGGACGGTGGATAAGGAGGAGTTTAGGAACGAGATGAAGAAGATTATGCTGGCTATTGCTGATGGACTCGGATCTAACCCAATTCAGATGGCTCTTGAAGATGATGATAAGAATTTCCTCAAGCAGGCTGCTGATCTTGAGGCTTCTAAGATTTCTGGGTGATTCTCAAGCGTGATGATTTTATCTTCAGTTTGGTTTTTTTTTTTTTGTTTCCCCTATTTTGTGTTCTTGTAAGAGTTTTGTCCCTAGAAAAACTATCGCAAATCGCAATTGTCAAAGTTTTAAAAAATAAATAAATAAATAAAAAATTAGACTCTTGTTTTGCCACTTTTGTAGCCATGCTAACCACCTATGACATATCGGAACTAGCCAAAATGGTCCCCAGTTTATGGAATTGGTGTGCAAATGGTCCCTAACGTTTAAATTTTGGCATGAACATCCTTAATCTTTCAATTAATTGACTGAATTGGTCCTTCTGGATGATTCCATTCAGTTGCCATTAAAAATGTCAAATTATGTGTAAATAGACTAAAATGCCTTACTTTTAGTTAAATAAAATAAATGGGAAATTAAAATTAAAAAATATGATTAAAAAAAAAAACTCACCTTATCGATTAATCTCTCGTAAAAGTATTTCTAAATTCAATCGTGAATTACTTTAATAATTGCCATATAAACAAGAACCCTGCTGCTTGTACAGGGACCTGCTTGACAGGTCCATTACATACCCTCACATGTGGGGCTGGGCTTAATTTTTTTATTTTTAAACAATGGTGGGGCCCACCTTTGTGCCTTGCCTATAAGGTCCCTGTACAAGCAGCATTATTGTATAAACAAAATGAAATGTATTTTCAAAAATAGAAATAACTGCGGTCACAATCCTTTCAAACTCTTGCAACTTTATCTTAACATTTGATTTGTTCCATTCACAATCTCAAACCTTTCATTTATGTATAGCAGCAAGACATATGGAAACTAGTCTGTTGTTGACTCAAAAAATGATTATAATCATATTATTAATTATCTATAATATATAAAATATCACATCAAGTGAGAATGATTTTT